TAGGGTGTCTTTCTAAAATCGCATTTGAATAAAGTCATTTGTGCGCGGAACGTAATCCAATTGGGTATCCCGCTCTAGGTTTTCTCTGCACACGAAAGCACCAATAAATCAACCAGTTGCGTCTGGGTTGCATAGCCCTTAGAACGCCCCTACGATGTATCCGTATGGCTTAATTTCATTCGTCCGAATCGAACGGATATATATTCTACGATCGGGAGAACTTTTCCGAAAGAAAAAAGAGAAAAAAGAAAAGGAAGAAAAAATAATAGAACAAAATGTTCTTCTAACGGACATCGAATTCTAATCATTCGAATCGAAACGCGATAGTTTTCCAAATCCAGAAAAATTACGTCAGAAAATTACGATCTCTTTAAACGCGTATAAGTGCAGTTAATATTTTTTCTCCGATTTCAAGATATTTTTTTTCCTTCATCTTTGCTTGACAATAAGTACGATTGAAGTGGGTTTTGAAAAATCTGCACAAATAACAAATGTAATTGCTAGCAAAGAATAAATTGTGCAACGTATTCTTCTATTAGTTCAAAAAAAAAAAAAGTAAAATACATCTTTTCATACGGATCTTGCGTTTCGTGATTTGGATTTTTATAGTGCTACCGTTATGTCATCGATCAATTAAAATCAATATATTTTAGACTCGTTGTATCAAGTTAATGGTGTTTATTATTATGTTGGATTACGTAATCCATATTGTTTCTGTTCGTTTTCGAATTTTACAAATTTTCAAGATTATTTTTATAATCGTATCATTGTTATTTGTGTATTATTAATAATGGTCGTAGAAATACGAATTGAAATATTCTTTTCTCATCATTCTATTGATAATAATTAATTATTTATATGGTATCTAATTTAAAACAAAAAAAGAAGCAAGAAAAATCTTTATCTTCGTTTATATTCAGTTCGTATATAAAATATGTGTTAATTATTTTGTATGAAAAAGAAAGTTGAACGACACATTTTGTATTAAATTATTCGCTCATTGAGAAATAATTAAACGCATCATATGGAATAATCATATATATATATATATATATATATATATATATATATATATTGGTCAAATGTAAAATTAATAAGCGTATTTTTCGATGATGTCGTTTGAATGAACGAGGAACAACATATATAATAAATAGTACAGAGAAAGCGATAGAGATACAATGCAACAGATAATTAGTACAAAGTTGTTCGCTAGAGTAACTCTCTCTCTAATTATCGGCACGATAACGAAAGTGTCGTTGTTGCTATTAAACAGAACAGCAGCAGAACATCGAGCAATCATCGATGACGAAATTAAACGATCGGAATGAAGAACAACACACAATACTTCTTATTATAGAGCCAGAGAAAGTTGAAATCGTTTTAAAAAACTAAGATAGCAGCTACTAGTATGTATGACTGTCCTTTTCTTTTCAATGTAATTAATTTAAAAAGAAAACAAAAAAAAAGAAGAGATGGTCAAATAGATTTCTCATTTCTTTGAAATCGTTAGAAAGTTAGGCAACAATTTTTCGACAATAATTTGTCGTCAAACAATATATAAAATATAAAAATATCATAACGGAAAAGAGAGTATTTTATTCTAATTAGTAAACTGTATAATAATTAAAACCTACGATAATTTTTCTTGTTTTTCCTTTTTCTCGAATAAGAGAATAATATAATAATTCGAAATTTTTCGAATACTTTTCCAATTAACAATTTAATTATTAAATTCGAACCACATTCGGTGGAAAACGCCAAATAACGATAACGATTAAAACTAATACGATACTTTATATTATTTTAAAAATATTTTTTATAAATATATATATATATATATATATATATATATATATATAATGCCAATTAGAAAAATAATAACCACCCTCGAAAGAAGAAAACGCATAAAGTCGATTACAATGGCGCCTAAATATTGAAAAAAGAAAAGAGCATTATCGACCCCCGTGCTCGATATCATATTTCTTCTAATTAACGAAGTTATATAAACGAGAAAACATTTTTTTTTCTCATCTTCGTTCGATGGAAAAAAAAATAGAAAAAATAATAATAATTATTAATAATAATGATACAATTCGCCATGATGAAAAGCGCAAGAAACGATAATGAATGAAACATAAAACTAGAAACAACAAATAAAGACCAAAAAACGAACGAGAAAAAGAAAGAGAGAGAGAGAGAGAGAGAGAGAGAGACCAAGGCAGGTGAGACAGCAATGTATATATATATACTAACACACATATAGAGTATATGTAATGTAGAACAGCGCTAAAAAAACATCGAAAATACAGCCAAGTATGGAAAGCACTTGCGATCGTGTTTGTGTTTTATTAAACGATCGTATGCATTCTCTCTATATACATATGTATGATATAAATATATAAATACACATAACACACACACATTGTATGTGTAGTAAATGTGTATTAAACATGTGACATAGTTATGAGCCCATGTGTAACGTGTATTTATGAAACACGACATTTTCGATGAATACAATAAATAAATCGATGACGTAAGAGGATATTTTTTATGTTTGAAGGGGGGGGGGAAAGCAAAAAAGAAAATGATCCAAACAAATGTTTATATTCGAGAAACATCTAAGACCAGACGACACATTTAAGAAAAATAGAAGAGAGATGAACGAACAGAAATATATATATTAACACCAGATGGAAATATGGTGGAGGATATAAAAAGAAAAAGAGAAAAACAGTGAGAAAGAAAGAGAGATAGATAGAGAGAGAGAGAGAGAGAGAGAGAGAGAGAGAGAAAGAGGCTGCCATCTCACCACCCCCGCCACAGGTCAAATCACTCACGAAATTTCACGTTAGATGTACTGTATGATTAATAAATTTTTCTATTCATTATTCACGAGATATGGATAGGAAATATATTAAAATAACTCCGATATATAATTTGATTAAAAATATTATTTCAAGAGAAATATATTGTTTTCGGAACTATGGAACATTTGGATACAACGAGAGGGTGGTTTTAAAAAAAAAAAAAAAAAGTAGGAGAAACAGAAAAGGATGTCGAATACGACGACGAAAACTTCTGACGATAACGATATAACAACGACGAAAATGACAACGACGACGACAACGACGACGACGACGACGACAACGATGACAACAAGGACGACGTACGAATGGAAGAGGAAACGCGTCTGTTTAACCTAGAAAATGCAACTCGTACTGCGCCGTACCGTTCTATCTCTGTATAGTAGTCGTCTACCTCAAACGAGTAAGATCGAAGGAGACCGAAATAAAAAGAGAAAGGTAGATGGATGAACAGAAAGAAAGAGAGAGAGAGAAATATATATATATATTATAGGGCAGGAAAACGACGTGGTGCCACCTGACAGACTCCAGGAAATTCGAGAAAACAAGATTTCCTTCCTTCGGACCATGCGCAACTACTTTAATCGAATTTCGTTTACAGACTTCGAGACTCGTGATATACGCCAATGAGTCTTCTAAGCACCAATCAGAGGCCGATTTACAAACGCGCGAATCAATACCGGCCAATTCAAATTTTATTTCGTCCAAGTCTATTATTCGCGTCTTTGCGTTAGAAATAAAAACTATTCATAATATTAACAATAATTGTTAATCAATGGATATTAATTCGAAATTAATAGAGATTAAGAGGGACAAGTTAAATGATCTTTTTTTTATATTAACTTCGATCTTTTTTTTATAAAACACTTTTGCCTTCTCTTATTTTATTATACTTTAATATCTTGTTTTTTACGAATATTAGCGCCAAAATGTTACGGTTTTTTGATTTAATTTCAAAAGGCGCCACGGAGTGTTAAAAGAAACGTTTCAAAGGCGCATGTCGAAAGACCGTTACTTCGTCTTCTTCTTTTTTCTTTTTTTTTCGTTTCTTATCCTTTTTCTATCTCCCTCTCCCACACACCAGTTCCTAACCCTTTCTCTTTCTCTTTTTCTTTTTTTTTTTGTTTTTATATATGAAAATGGAAATTGAAGTGAAAAGATTGTGAAATAGTTGAACCGTTCGAGCGCGTTTTAAACGATTCGAGTTGAGATTTTTCTGGTTTTGTGTAGTTTTCTTTTTCTCCGTTTTTTTCTTCTTTTTCCCCGGGAATTAATTTAAATCAGGATGAAGAATGTGAAGCATGGAATTACCTTCGGGTACTCCTAATTGTTTTCTTTGATGCAATTTTGTGGTACGTAGATACGTAAGAGACACTTGTGGATTTATGCAAAATACTTGGGAGTTAACGAACCGTTTCCTCACTCACTCACTTTTTTTTCATGACCCGATTTTAACTGATTTCCTTTCCGGAACGGTGCATCGGCGACATCTGCCGTTTGCTACACGCGGGACGTTTAAATTTTAAGTTTTCTAAAAAAAGTTATCTTACAGAAACGACGTATACAGTTAAAATACAAATGAAGTCAAAATACAATCGAAACGATATCGTTCAGCACAAAAAAGTTGGCATAGAACCGCAACAGCAGAACAAAATGAATAAGTCTTCTTAATTGCTCACTAATTGCCCAATAAAACTCCATAATTGCTCACTTTTATATATTATAATTATATATATAATATTTATATATTATAGTAAGCTACTCGAGTGAGCCATTATAGTGGCGCATCGACCTGAAAAAAATATTCGCCAAAGCCACTCTAGTGGTAGGCCGGCTAAGCACCATATCGGTAATAGTAGTGCTCTATCTTATCTTACATTCTGTCAGTAACTGCAGTTTTCTACTTTTACGATATCGACCGTCGTTAATGCTGTTACAATATATTTTTAAGAAAAATTATATTTTAATCATTAAGGAATCTTTAAGTAAAACATACGATATATATAATCTATCGACAATATTTCGTTTCATTTGAATAAAAATAGTGTTTAGAAAACAAATATTATCGTTTAATTTAATAAATAAATTTTTGAGCAAAATTATCGATTACTTACGAGTTAGTAATATCTGTCAAGTGTATTTATGCACTTGCTAGTCACGTGGTCAGAATACTACATACAGAACGAGTAATCATGTCGGCTCCGGTTAAAAAACGAGAAATTCAAGAAAATGTGGGTGGTAGGGACGATAATGAAGAACAAGAATTGTCTGACAGCGAGGATAACGAACAAGAACAAGTTGAAGAATCGGTGAGAAAATAAATATTAAAAAATATATAATAATTTTTAGAAATAAGAACATAACCTAATTGTCACACGTGCAATTTACTATTTTGTATTGTATTTATCATTGTTACCAGGCTGTATTTATTCATTTCATTTTTTTATATGTTATAAATAATGTATTTTATTATATGTGCAATTTATTTTAAATTATTCGATGAGTTCACTTATTGACATACTTGTAACAATCAAAATGTCATTTTATTCATAAATGAGCCGTTCAGAGGCCAAAAACATTAACTTCACTTTAGGAATATTTTCAAATTTATCTATTAAAGCACTTATTTGATATTTCACTTTTTATAATTGAAATAAATTTATTTAATAAAATTATACTTATTGATGCAAAATTGCCAACAATTCTTATGGTCGTTGAATAAGTGATATAACAATATAAAGAACTTTATCATTCATCTCTACTTTTTGAATAGGGAATGGAAATTCAAGTTGATTTTGAAGGACGCAGCCCACAAGATCCAGATTTTCATGGAATCAAAACATTACTGCAGCAACTATTCTTAAAGGCACATATAGATTTGGCTGCGTTAACCGAATTAATAGTTTCACAGAATTATGTAGGATCGGTGGTAAAACAGTCAGAAGATTTTGAAGACGAAGAAGAAGAAGAAGCGGATGATACTTTTGATGTATTTGGTATTACGACTGTAATAAATATATCGGATAAACAGGTAAGGAAAGTGTGCATTAATTATTAAATTGTAAATTAATATTTTATATAATCATTTTTATGTATATATATATATATAATGAATGATTATTCTTAGCATCTTCCGTGCATACAACAATTACGAGATTTATTGATAGAATTATCTAGCGAACATGCTACGGATGCAACTTACACTTTGATCAAAAATGTACTTCAGAACGACTCACAACCAATCGGTTTGCTAGTTAATGAAAGGTTCATTAACATACCTGCGCAAATCTCTGTACCTCTTTTCGAAAGTTTAATCTCCGAGATGAAACGCGCTAGTAGTAGAAAAATGCCATTTGAATTTTCTTATTATATACTCATTTGTAAATTGTACAAAATGGAGGATAAAAAGATTGAAAAGAAAACGAAAAATAAAAAGAAGAATAACAGCGAAACGCCAACAATTGTATGGAGCAATCCAGAAGAAGAAATATTTGCTGATAAAGCTCTAGTTAGTTTTGAATTTTCAGTTGAAAGAGAAACTGATAGTGGTTTATCCGGAACGTGGACTGAAACTGACGACGAAATGAAACCATTCAGACGAGTGTTGTTGATAGAAGCTTCTAAATTGCTATCTATAATTAACACAATTAAAAACCAAATATCTTAATCTTTACTTAGGATCATCAATCGATACATCATGAAACTTGTTTGTACTTTTATGGCTATATTAATATACTTTTCATTATTAAAATTATAATTATAAGAATAATCATAACAATAATTAGCTTTAAAGAAAACAGATCTTTTTCGTGTATTTCTATTAAAGAAAAATGAAAAAGAACTAAGTATAAGTTATACATATATACGTATGTGATATGTTGATAAGTGTAACTTTTCATATGATAATACATTTTTTCTACCGCTTATTGCAAACTTTGCAAACTTATAAATCGTTTCCCCTCGATAATTAATATCTTTTCACCCTAGATTTTATTTATAGCATATTTATAAACATTAACTTCTCGTTAGAGACGCATCTATAACAAAAGTATAAAAAAGAAGAAAAATACACATTTTCTTTTTATAATAATATAAATAATACAACCCTCTTAACAGATATTCTTTTTTATAACTGAAAAGAGAAACATTTTTTTTACTTAATATATTAAACATTCTTTTTTTAAATCATTAATTACGTCTTTGTGTCAGTGATTTGAAGAAATTGTCTTGTTGGTTTAGCTCTTCTTCTCATTGTTCCCAATATATTGAGCATTTCTGATACAGCCGGTGGCGCTGTTTCTGCCTCTTGTCGTCTTTTTCTTTCCTCTTCTCTTTGTTTCTACGAATAATCACATTTCGTATATGTCAATCATAATTCATAATAATCGTATATCTTTATTGTGCTATAATTATTACTTACATCCGTTTGTTTCAATGTGAATCGACCGCCTTTTATTTGATTAATAATATCGTCGATGACTGAAACATACAAAAATATAAAAGAAAAATGAATGAAAGATAATAAAATGAATATAAGTATTATCAGAAAGTTATTTGTTCGATTCCCTACCGGGCTGTTGAGTGACAGTTGAATTTTTCTTATGTATTCCAAGCATAGACTCCATATCGCTAACTGCATTAGATTCAGAATGTAATTTTTCTTTTGTTAACAATTTTATAGTCGCATTTCCAGTCGATGATATTGAAGGCAATGGTGGTGGTGGCGGAGGTGGAGGTGGAGGTGGTGGTAACAAAGAAGGTAAAGGTCTAGCAAGTTTCTCTTCCAATTCAACTATTTTCTCTTCCATATTTCTAACAACATCTTCTAAATCATAAACCGATCTTTCAGCTCGCTCAGCTCTCTGTCGTTCTACGTTCAATTCGGATTCAGCTAGTTTTAATTTTTCTTCAACTATTTCAAACTCTACATTAGATTCCTTCTCCTCTAATTTTTCTTGAAGCATTTGAATGTGAGACGCATGATTTTGTTGTTCCTCCTCTAATAATCTCTTTAAGGATTCTACTTCTTGAAGGACAGTTAACAACCTTCCGTTTGGATCATCGCCAACCTCTGCCATTAAGAGAGCACTTTGATGAGCCAAAACGTTACGTTCTTTCTGTGCCTAGATAGATCAATAGGAAGAAGAGTCAGTTAGTGAGATTTATTATGACTTTTAAGGAAATAAATAAATTAATATAAAAGAATAAAAAAAAAAAATACATGAATGGATCGTTAACCTTGTCTGCTTCCAATTTCATTATTTTAGCCGTTTCTCTCTCACGATCGCATTGAGTCTTCAATGCTTGAACCTCTTTTGCTACCATCTTTGTCACTCTTTCCATATTTTCTTTTTGCATTTTCATCTCGTTTATTTTATCATCGGCTACGAAAATACATGAAATTTTTTTATTTATTAAATTAGATATTTAATTAATGAAATTCTCTATTATTTATTTATTTGTTTTATAGAACGAACGGTCTTGTATAAAATACAATACCTTTCTGTCTGAGCGTTCTTTCCTCTTCCAACTGAGTCGTCAAGAGTGTTATTTGTTCTTGAGCTTCGAATTCCTGCAATCGTGCTGAATTTAAATCGGTCTGGAGTTTTGCTATCTCTTGACTGAGTTCTAAGAAGATAATTATTCATTGAAAAATATTGGACCCTTGTATTTGGATGCGCATAATATTTTCTTTTTTATTTTTCATTGTTTTTTAATTACCTCTAACCGTTTCTCTAAGTTGATCTAAATCCTCGAAATTAGAATCAACTTCGTCGGAAATATCGAGATCGACCGATCCTCCTGGATGAATTTGCAAATATTTTTGCGCTATCATTTGAGATTTTCGTTTCAATTCTCGATTTTGTTTATACCACTGAAAATAAATTCATATATATTTTCAATTTATTGATTATATTTTAAATAATTAATTTAGGTAAAAAAAATACAAGCTTACTTCCGACGCTTGTTGCATAGCCTTGTGCATTGCACCTGTTTCAACGTCATACTGACGTTTTAATTGTTCGTATTCCTTGCATACTGCTTCGGATACTGAAAAAGAAACATTATTTTTAGTTTTATTTATAAATTTGCTATAAATAATAATTATTTCTTAAATACTTCATTTTTATTTTGTATTTTTTTAATTAACGATATTAAGAGTATTCATTCAAGATTGTTGGAAAAATATTACCTGTCCGTAATTTATTCAACTTTTCTTCTTTTTCTTGAGCCTGCGATTGCAAGGTACTGTTTTGCCTTTGCAATTGTTGATACTTTTTTTCCAAATCTGCATGTTCCTTGTTTCCTGTAAACAATTATCTAATTATAAGTATATATTATAATAAAAAATAAAAAAAACGAATCACAATACTAGCAATATTATAATTAAACTTATAATAATTCAATTAGAAATAGAATACAGTTCTTATTGTTAATAAAAAAATATAATAGAAACAGGATTCGTTTAAATCTTATTTAAAAAGTTTGATCACGTTTCGAGTGATATATAGGGAATGATCTATAGATTCGATCTAGGAAACCGATTGACATGCAAAACGATCGGATATATTTATATTTATTAATTTTCAACCCGATCACGTTTTAAAGGCGTGTGACTAATAAAACATCATTGGCTTTGAATTCAAGAGTGCAAGAGTGAATCACAACGGACGGTACCACACTTTTATATACAATATACACTGTTGCAGTTTAACCGTGAACTATAATCATGATCAATGCAATGTCGTTTGCAAATATAATACGTAAGTTTGTCACCGAGAGAAACCAATATTTAATTGAATTCCGAATGACGTTATTTCTCTGCCTCGGGACGACCTTATATTAGTCACGCCATATTCATTTCCATTTAATACATTACAAAAAAAAGAAATTAAATTTAAAAAACCATATTTATCTTGCACTCTTTCTTTTTTTGTATTTTTTTTCCATCAACATGTTAATCAATAAAATCTTGACAGTGAAAATAAATAACGAGCTAATGAAAATGTATTCAATGATAAATATATTTTTTTTAATTTTAAACTTTAATGTTCACCAACCAGTTAAATTGATAAAGCATTTATAAAACTCTGCATAAATAGTTAATAAAAATAGATAAAATAAAATATACGAAATAAAAATGTAATAAGGGAAATCACTTTGGATTCTTTTTTTTCTCTTTCTTTTTTCTAAATTAAGGTACTTCTTTTTGTTTAATTTCAAACGAAATAAAATGAAGGAAAAATAAAAATAAATGTCTACTAACCAATCTCGGTTTTTTGAAGTAACAATTTTCTCCTTTTTTCCGATTCCTCGTATTTACTTTTCCATTTGTTTTCGAGGAAACAATTGGTGGTATTACTGTTACCATTGCCATTTAATTTCGGAAATATAAAATCATTTTTTTTAAACGGATTGGTAGATTTATCATCGACATTTCGCATTTCTATGCTAGACGTCGACAAATTGTTATGCTTTGATCTGAGTTGTACCGAAGCATCGAGTTTTTCAAAATTAGCTTTTTGTGCAGCTACCGAAGTTGTTCTACCAAGTTTTTCGAAAGAACCTCTTCTTATTGGTAAACATCTTTCTTGCGGTTTTATTTGAGCATTAGTTATCCTTGGTACAGGAATATGAGAATGAATCACGTTCGTTGCTGTTGTTGTCCTCGGAGGTTCGGTGCTAAGAACTATGTTCAATTCTGTCTTGTTCATGATCACTACTTTAAAACAAAAAATATAATTAACATTATCCGCGCGTTTATAATGTAATTAAAATATATATATATATATATATATATATTTTTAATAGATAAAAATGTAAATAGATCAATGAATTCTTACGATTTCTTTCATTTCAAAATGGCGGACTATATGTGCCGATACATATCAATTAGACTAATTCGAAAGAAATGAAAAGTTCGTGTACTTTAATATCGAGTTCAAGCAAAAGTGCATGACCGCTAAAGTGTTAATAACATTCGTGTTTTCTAAAAATATACGTGCATATATATGTATGTATATGTGTATACATATCAAGCGCACCCCCGTGTTTCAGCCAAGTTGAAAATAGCAGCACTGTCAAAAGCACTTCTCGTGACTAATCTCGATTCCACAACTGCTAACATATATATTGAGATAAGAAGGCAACATTTCCTCGTAGATAAAACATTTGTAGAAGAATCCTAATCGATAAGAATCATATGTTATTTTACGTTAGTCACAAAGTTTTCTTTTTTAATTTTCCTTTCGTTATCTTTTTTTTTTTTTTGTATAAGTCAAACACCAGAATTTTTAAATAAATTTACCAACATTTTAAATCCCGTAAAAACTATCATTAGAAAATTTAAATTTACATATTAAAAATCTTATAGCAAATGTCATGCGTTTTTTGTGCACAGTTTGTGCGCAGGTTTTCTATTTACCATACTATATAAATACAGTTAGAAAATTTAATTAACAAAGAAATAAATAAATTCACCAACATAGAAGATATATTTAAAAAAATTTCATTTATAAATCGAAGAAGTAAATGCATGAAGATGCTCGTGAATAATATGCGCGTGTTTATGAAGGAAGTCATGTTGATTTTGAAAAAATCCGATGGAAATATCGATTGTAACTTGGAAAATTAAAAAAAAAAAAAAAAAAATCTACGAGAAGCACATGTCATTTTACTAGACGAGAGCCAAATGATAATAATCATCTTCCACAGACCTTTTAACGTTAATTCGTTGGAATTCATGCGTCACTATTCCAGTATATATGTATATACGTTGCATACGCGTTCATTATAACGGAACAGAAGAGACGTCATTCGGGAAACATCGACGTCTCGAGGACTCGTTAACATTTAAGGGTTTAAATATAAGATTCAACCATCAATAATAATGATAAAAATAATAATAATAATAGCGTACCGACTAATGATCACAATCCTCCTTCATTTCTTCCCCATTTCTCATAATAATTACTTTCCCAAAATCTAACTTATAAAATATTCCAATGAGAAAATATTTAAAACAAAGATAAGAGAAATTGTAGGAAAGTAAAACGTTCGTTTCTCCGTGACAGTTTTCAAAGAGATATTACTAAGCCGGTAATTATCTTGAAACAATAGGTCTCGCATCCTACACGTTTTTAAATTCTCAAATCTGCATATGTATGTGTCTACTCGTGTATACTCATATATGTAATATATATATACGCATGGATGGATAAAATGAATCATAAATATCTTTGGAATTTTTATGATTTTAAAGAAATCTGTATTGATACATTAAAAAAAAAAATATTAGTTTATATAAGAAAATGATAAAGATAAACTAATTCGATTGTTGAAATCATATTTTATTCTATTTCGTTCTAATGCAGCTTTGCCTTTACACTATACTAATCGATCGTCCTACTTTGTATTATTCTTTTCTTTGGAACTATGCCATTTATATATGTATATATATATATGTAGATGTATACATACTTGAAACGAGTATATAGAAAGAATAAATAAAAAGAAAGTAATTAAATTCTAATTATTATTATATTTGTTTTTTCGTAACTTATATTTTATGGAAATATTTTATTTCTATTGTTATAAAATCATAGTTAAAGGATATGAGAACTCGCTTTTGTTGTAGGATAAAGATAGTATCTACATCATATTGGCGTTTAAAGTCAAGAATCTATTATATACTTCCTTTCACTTTCTCTATTTTGCGTTATTATAGACGATTAAAAGTTCGAATCTAGCGATCGGCACATATCGTGAAATTCCGCCATTTTTCGTGTTTCCAATTGACCGAAACATGTATTTAATTTAAATGAAATTTATATAATAGTTATAACACAATTACATGCAATTACTATTGTGCATATATTAGAATTTATATATTATATGATTACTATATATTTAGTTAATTATAATTATAATTAAATAAAGGTAAAATGTTAATAATATTTTTCGCGTTTATAGTATTATATTTATATAATTTTACATTTAGTTCTAAAAATGTGTAAACTATCTATAGACAACGTATTATTTGCGATTATATGTTACAATATATTATTAAGTTAATTATAATTACAATTAACTGAATTTAATTATCGACAAAAAAAAAGCAAAGAATAGCGATAAATCAGAAACAAACAAAAAATGACAAATGTTGAAATTTCGTTATCGAAAAAAAGAAAACATATTTATCGTTGATTGACTTAAAAGAAAAGAAGATAAAAGTAAAGAGAGAAAAGAAAAGAAAAAAGTCATTCTGCCAACACAATGAAAGGCATTATTATAATTAAAAATGCGTTTTTAATCGCATATGTTTACACTCACGATCGTCTGACGCATCGCTTCTCTGCAAAATGGAAAAGAAAAAATTAAAAAGAAAATTAAGGAATAAGAAGAAGAAGAAGAAGATGAGAAGAAAATAACAGAAATCTTGAGTGTCCCTTCTCGATCACGTTGATGATAATCGCACACGAATTTTATTCCTCTTTTTCGTTGTTTTGGTATCCTATTAACTTGTGCACACCGATATTTTAAAAAAGAATAATAAAAGAAATAAACAGCGACAATAACAACAACCAAGTAAAATAAAAGTAAAAAGTTTTCAGAAGAAAAATAATAACAATGTACCAAGAAACTTGCACTTTTGCGATAACTTGTAACAGACAAAAGATATTTCAAAAATCACAAGAAATAATAATCTTTCTTTTTTTTTCTTGTTTTATTATTTCTTTCTTTCTCGTTCTCCCCAAAGGAGTAGTAGCAAAGAGTCGCGTGTGTTTCGAATGACGTTCGAACACGTACTGTGTGTTCGCTGTTAATTTCACATTGTCCGAGGGCGTTCCAGCCGACGACGACGACGACGACGACGACGACGACGTTGAGAATGCGTTCTTTTAAAACTAATCCTACCGAGTTTTTCTTTCTCTCTCATTTTTATTTACTCTCTCGCCGCTTATTTTCTTTCTCACTCTAATAAACGGTCATTCATTATTTTTCCCTCTCTCTTTTTCTCTCACAGAAAATGAATGTGTCGAACACCGTTACGTACAAATTGTGATATTTAATTATTAATTGAATAAACGAAACAAGAATGATATAAAAAAAAAAAAAGCGAAATGTATAGAATGTTTTAACTGAGAATATAGGAAAAAATTGATCATGAGTTTTATTCTAATAAGATTTATCACTTACTACGATAGTTCTTTTTCTTATTATGTGTGTGTTTTTTGTTAACAAAAGTTTGAAGTTTCGACAGATAGTCGCGTTAATGTCGGTATAAATTTGCAGGTTTGAGTTACACAGGTGTATTATAGTTACATTACCTACATTGTCAACCTCAGCCGATAATAGTTGGTATGAATGAAAAATATCACGAGTATCGATGAGTATCACCGGTCTAAGAAGGCAACGATAAAGTCAAATAGTAACAGGTAGTTGTCAATCATTATATTTTTCCTCTCTTTCTTTCTATTTCTCTTTCTTACGTGAGCGTTTTAAAAACGAACGCACGTGCGACTCAACTTAGTATCGAGAAGGTTTTTCCTTTCGAGAGAATGTGCAACGTTTACACATTGAGAATAACCTTCTAGCTATAATGTTGCTCAATCAAGCTGTGCTTCGGTGATACACTCAATTACCGCACGGTTTTAAAACCTCACGAGTGTTGATTCTCGTGATGTGTTTATGTATTCAAAAAGAAAAAGGAAAAGAAATGGGGGAAGAAAAATAAAGGAACAAGGAATTTCTCGTAACGAAAGGGAGAACGAAATTTATTTTTTCTTACTTTTACCCGCGTTGGTTTCTTTTTCTTTCAATTTCTTTTATAGAATCAATTGTTTGTTATTTTTTAATCGACAAAAAAAAAACAAAAAATAGATTGAACTTTCAAGTTAACTTAATTGCATAATTATAAGAGTATTATTAAATATATGGGGGAAATAATAAAAAAAAAAAAAGTGATTTTTCTTAAGACGTCCGCCATTTTGGTTGCGCTTTTTGAAACGTTACCCACGCTTGAATTGAATAAACTTTGAAAGTAATAATTTCTACGTTATTAAAAGATCTTTTTTAAAAAAATGCTGAGAAAGAATAACGTTCTTGAAAATGTTTCTCGTTTCCAAGGAGTGTGATAAGTAAACAAAGCATGAGTTTACCTCACCGGTCAACAGTTTGTAACACACTTGCCTTCTTTCGAAAACTTGTATATACGAATGTATAAAAATATATATGTAAGTGTGTATACACAAGTGTAACTTTGATATTCTTTTCTTATTGTTTATTAAAGAAAAGAATTTTGCAATTTATAAATCAGTTTTTTATTCGCGTAACAATTTTCGTAAATTCCTTTATAAAGAAAAAGGAAAGAAAGAAAAAAATGAAAAAAATGTGAAATTAAGAGAGTTTTATAATTATATAATATATAATTTTGCATATTTCACACATTCCTTAATAATAATAAAACATTCGATTTTATTTCTATAGCATATAATTGAAATTGTAAAAAAATCCTATGAAATATTTGAATAAAAGAAAGAAAAAATAAATAAAGTATTATTTAATACTTTTAGTGTATATACCGTATAATGTACGCATAATTAAACTGATAAAAAATAGTTTAATTAGTAATTTTATAATAACGAATTAATTAATATTATAAGATAATAAATTCAAGAATACGTATTATGTCAAGTGTTATTGAATAGAAGATAAGAACTGATAGAAGGTAGAAATGATATACAATGTCGCAAGATACGTCGTTAACCTACCAGTCGTTGCCCGTTCAAATACTTTGGTGGCTCTTATATATGTGTATGTGTGTGTGACTTATATTATTTGTACACATTTAGAAGCAACAATCATGAGAATTTTCCTATCACTGTTGCAATTAACATATTGGCTTTAGAGACGCGAATTAAAAGAAAAAAAAGACAAAAGAGTTAAATGGAATGAAAATAAATTGTAATTTATCTAAAAAAAAAAAAAAAAGAAAAGCAGAAGTTGAACAACTATAATTCATTAAAAATTCATTTCGTCTTTTACGTACAATGGGTCAGGGTCACATGAATCATATCTAAAGAAAGAAATAAGAAAAGAGTATAAAAATCAATGTCACAGTTATAATTCATTAAAAATTATATAATATTTCAATGTTACCTGAAACCATATGCAAAGACAAAATAAAAAGACATGAAAATTAATGTCAATTAATTTTTGTAAAATTCTTTACCACCTAGCAAAATCGTATTATTTTCTATTCAATACTAATAGAAGTCAAGGAACTATAATTCATGAAAATTTAATCCTTGTCTCTCATGTATGATGGTTCAAGGTTACTTGCGATCACTTTTAAAGAAGGAAGAGGAGCGAAGGGGAGGGAGGATGTATAAAGATCAACGTTTCTATATACGTGTGTTCGACACTTGAGTCACAAAGTTCTGAATAATCATCCAAGCAACTAACTCTCTTTGTCTACTTCTTTGCTTTACCACGAAAAACATGCTGATTTTATCGCCGTGTTTAAATTCGCTCGAACTTAATAGGAATCAGTTTCGATTAAGCAGTCTTCCTTTCTACGAATAGATTCTTACCCTCTTCTACCTATTTTTGTTCTCTACTTGTACTTATTTCGGCCTATGATAAATATCCTTTTTTAAGTTTCGCAGATTATTTTGTACGAACGCAAATTTAAATTTAATCGATTTCCCGCCACCTATATTGAAATTATTTATTTCACTTTTTTATTTTATGATGTTTTTTTTGTGAATATTGATCTCGTTCTAATCAAATTTGTATTATTATGTAATAAAATTTGTTTATAAGTTGTTAATATTTTGTCGAATTTTAAGATTTTTTAAATTTTCATTTTAGTTAGATCACACAGATCAGAATACAAGAGATATTATTCATTCATTTTTTTTTTTGCATTCAATTAAGTCTTACGCCATTTTAAAAGTAAACGGTTTACATGATTATTATATTAAAAAAAAAGAAAAGGAATATATATTATATACAAATCGATGGTAGAAATATGACCTCGAACGAACAGCTATCTCGTTCTCGAACACAGTGTGTGCCATCATCATCATTTAGTCACTTATTGTCTCGAATTATTCCCCTCAGTCGATCATAACTACGTCGAAATGACTCATGCTCATTAACCATGTAACGGGTGTTCCGGCAAATCATGGAAATTGATGCATAATTTTAATGATACTACGCAGCTGCTCGATCAAACCTCATATATATTTAAACAATATTCGAATTTTATATTAAAAATCAAATAAAGAAGTCGAAAACTTAATTACAATTTTTTTCCCCATTATTTTAACTATTTTTACAATCGAATAAATGCATAAATGATCATAAAAATTGTTATACGATCTGGTTATAACAAAAAAGAAATAAAAAAAAAAGAAATCTTATTTTCGATGTAATATGAAAAATAAGTCATTTAAAAAACGGCGCCATTCGGATCGTATAAGTTGGTAGAACTGTAGGTAAAATATGTACCAACATAAATGGAATTCTTCTAGTAATGTTTTTATGATTGCAATATTCAACAAAGGGAAATTCGCACAAACAATAATCTATCCTATCTAATTAATGCGATTATATTTTTACGGATGTTAAGATGTTAGAATGTGTCACGTAGATTAAAGATAAAAACAAATCGAGATATTCAGTATGAGTATAAAATCGTTTTGTTAGTGACGAATCAAAAGACATATATTTAATCTAAATATCGGTTCATTGTTTTTCGATATAATTAAAGAGAAAGTATTTTTAGACAATAAAAAGTTAAATAATTGTGATTAATTTTTAATGCTGCTATGTTGTGATATTGTTAATTGACATGACACGACTAAGAGGTCGAGCTTCTCTTATGATAATCGTAATGATCATGTTCACATTACTGGTAGTTATATATCACATTTTGAGTAGCGAAATAGACAGTATTTCATCCGATAAAATAATTCCAAGATTAAAAGTTGAAGATGTTTATTCTGTTAACGATCTCACTGAGAGTCCTATCAGAATAGCAAGAATGCAACAAATGGAAGCTCAAATAGATCAAAATTCTGAGGTACTAAGAAATAAACCATTCGCTGACAATTTCCATGCCAATTCGTATTCATCAACTAATCCGTTGTTCAAAGGACACAAGATTGTACATTTAGATTTAAAAGGCGCACCGCCTAAAATAGGTTATTACAAATATCTTTTACCATTGTTGAAAAAGTTAGGCGCTACTGGAATTCTCATAGAATATGAGGATATGTTCCCATTTGATGGGAATATAAAAGATATTAGCGCTTATAATTGTTATACCAAAGACGACTTAAGTATCATTCAAAGTTTAGCAGAAGAAAATAATCTTATCGTTATTCCTTTGATACAAACATTTGGACATTTGGAATTTATTCTTAAGCTTGATAAGTATAAGGAATATAGAGAGGTACCAAGATATCCCCAAGCAATATGTCCAACTTATAATAAAACTTCACAATTGATACATGAAGTAATAGATCAAGTTGTAGCTGCACATCCTAACATAAAATACTTGCATATTGGAGCAGATGAAGTATATCAAATAGCAGATTGTTCAAGATGTATCGATCTAATAATTAAAAAAAATTGGAATAAAAAACAATTATTCCTTGATCATGTATCTAAAGTAGCTAGATATATCAAGGATAAGTATCCCTGGTTAACTGTATTAATGTGGGATGATGAGTTTCGTGAAATATCCCCGCAAGAAATAATAGATAAAGATTTACATTTAATGGTGGAACCGGTCGTTTGGAAATATACAAAGGATCCGGGCTCCACTTTGACCGATCAATTATGGGAAAGTTACGGTGCTGTTTGGAAAAGTATTTGGGTTGCTACTGCATTTAAAGGTGCAACTGCACCGGATAGATTTTTTACAGATATATCTTATCATTTGAAAAATCATCAACGTTGGTTAGAAATAATAACCAAATATTCAAGTCAAATAAACTTTAAGGGTGTTATTCTAACGGGATGGCAAAGATACGATCATTTCAGTGTACTCTGTGAATTATTATCCACAGCCATTCCATCACTTGCCATTAATCTTGCTGCATTGCAAGCATCTAATCTAAGTGGTTTTCCTATTGAAGTACCTAATCAATTAGGTGACATTTTACAATGCGAAAAAATAATCTCTTTGAGTATACCAGAACCACAATACGGATGGACTAGATGTGGTTTTCACGGATCTGCAGTATATGCAGTTACTCTAAGACTACATTCTTTGATTCAGGAAATAAATAAAATGCATCAGGAAAACATATATAAAGGATGGTTGAAACCATACAATATAAAATACAAATTTTCAAGTCCGAGTCATATCGAACGAATAATAGGCGACTTAAATAGGTATAAGGTTGAGATTATGTACATTGAGAAAGATTTTCGTACTGCCATGGAAGATATTTATGATAATTATACAATACAAGAATGGATAGAAACATACGTTACGCCTATAAACGAAGAAATTACTCAATTACACGAAGCAGAAGAACAAATTCTTGAAAAGAATTCGTGGCAGAGGAGACCTTTAAAAAAATCTGATTGAAATGCTAGGATTATTTTTAACAATGTATACAATCTAAGATTTGGATAAAAAAAAATAGATAATAAGAGACTGATTAAAAATTTATTAGAAAAGAAAATCGAATAATTGAGATACGTCGTTTTTGTTCTCACAAATAATAATAATAGATAATCAATGTAATAAGTTAATTATACACACATATATATATGTATATGTATATATACATTATGTTTTTTAAATTTTTGAAACAAAGCGTTTTAAATGAAAGTCTTGATATTATGATTAACTACGCCGTCCGTGATTTCAAGTATCACGTTCGTCACATTAAACAAGTAATACAAATCTTTCATTGAATTTTATTCTAAAACGAAAGAACGTGTTAAACACAAAATAAAATGAATTATACGATAAATCTCTGTGCGTGGTACAATCAAAGTGCAAACATGTACTATATCAAAGTTGATTTATTATTTCTATGTATTATTTTCATTTGGAAATAAGCCAAATTTAACAGTAAATGTTATATTATGTATACATGGTGTGTGTGGTGTGTACAAGAAGCGTATTACAATTACTCTCATTGTTAGCGCAAGTCATAGAAATTTTAAAACAGTCAATGTAATTTTATTCCAACATCAAAGTCTTATGATCCCCCCTTCCCCTTTCCGATTATTAAAGTACTCCTTCTTTTTATCTAGTTGTTATTATTATTAAATATTTCTATGTTGAATCATGTTAAAGCATATTTTATGATAAATTAAATTTGTATTATATATATATATATATATATATATATATAA